ATTCACCCAGGTTATGTACCATTCATATTCAATTATTTGGTGACCGTAAACTATTGCTTAACTTACCCCGCTGGGGCTGGTTGAACATTTTCGCAAAAGTTAGGCAATATCTTCTCAAAAAAATTCAAAATTATACTTTTTTCTTAACAAATTTTAAGCAATTTTATTTATCTTTCAAATATTGAAAAATTTATATAAATCCGACTCACCTTTCATCAGATCTGTTAGATTTAGTAAAAATTGCTCAACTAGCCCCGCTCTACCCTATCACATGTTTTTGCATGTGTCACTTTGGTGACTTCAGCACTTTCAATATTTAAGAAAAAGGAACAGTCAATATTCGGAATGAATCTTTTAAACTGTTATACATCACAACGTTTTGATAATATGATCAGTGATATGTCAATAATAATTATATTATCAATGATGATATAATATTATAACTATTATAAAGTGGCCAGTTCCAAAAACCTAACACTATACTTAAAAATTTTCAAAAAGAACTTGTGAAACGGGTTAGTTAACATACAGTGATTAACAAAGAACACGTAGTTAACGTTAAACACACCTGGTCATACAGATTTCGGGTCAGGTATTTAGGACTGGCTAATTTAACACATTTACCTAAAAATAGGTCAATGCTTGGAGCGCCTAGAAAGCAACAGACGCAGACCATTTAAAAAGGCTAATTTTATTTAGTTAACATAGGTGAGTTTTTTACTTTATGAAAATCCTGGAAAATTATTTTAATAAAAATAAAAGGTTAAATAAGAAATTTAAAATAAAAAATTATAAATTAATAAGGAACTTCTAATTTTGTAGAATTGTTACCTACAAAATACTAATTGTAGATGTATGTAATCCCACCCCTCCCATCCCGCTTTCTTCTACGGCAAACACCACTACCCTCCCAATGAATAAAGGGGTAAGGGTAATCCCGGCCGCCGTTTTGGAGCCACACCCCATTCGCCCTATGGGATGTGAGTCCATTGTGTTGACTTTTGTAAACCTGAAAAGCCTGGTATGACAAATCTGAAATGAAAATAAATGATAACGAAATAACAATTTTATAACAGAGCACTTTATGTAAATGTAAAGATAACACAAATACAATAATAAGCAAAACTGCAAACTACTTACCATTAACTGCAGCAGAAGTTGTTGAGGATTTTGTTCAGGTATGTGACAGTTTAGAAGTTGTTGAGGTATGTGACAAATTTGAAATGGGAATAATATACAAATAATATACACATTTGAACAAGTTTAAGAACAATGATAAAACTTAAATCTACATTTACCAAGAGTTGTTGCTGCTACTCTCACTATAAAGAACAAAATTAACTAATTAACTGTTTAACAAAAGTACTGAACTCGTTAGAACATTAAATCATTTTAACTATATTTTCTTACATGTTTTCTCGTTTGCATAACAATTTAGTAAAGTGAAATAAACAAGTTATTGTATCGTGAAAAAATTTAATAACTTTATTTAAGTATACTAAATATATTAAAATAAGTCAGATTTTTACCAAAATCTGCAATTAAAGTTAAACAAAATCTTACAAATTTCTTGGATTGATTGCACTAAAATCAGATAATATACTAAAATATAAAAATAAAATATAAAAATCCTACAATCCAAAAAGTTCATTATGTATAACTATAACTAATAATTTGTATAACTGTAATTAATTATAACTATTAGTTATATATAATTATATAATTAATATTAGGGTATAAAGAATGTTTTAAAAAAAACCTAACACATCACTTGCAAAGGCGCTATAAAATAAAGCAGAAAATATTAAACATAGATCATACAGGTCATATTCAAAAATTCCTGAAAATTGTTTGCTCAAATATACGAAAAAAATCCCGAATAAATCAGCTAACTTTTTTAGCTGAGTTTTAAGCCTTGTTTTTTGAAAATTTCTTTATTTTGAGTGATGTCTAAAAAACCCTAAAAAATCAAATAAATAACACAAATATGTACTTAAACTTGTATGTATGGAAAACCTTTTGGAGAATCGTAAAGACTCAAAGTCTTGATAAATATCCAAAATCCTGTAATATTCAGAAAAAAATAATCCCTGAAGAAAACCTTTCCCTCGCAGAGCATTTAATTAACCCGAATGTGATTTAAATTCAGTGAAAATCACAACACAAAAGAGCATTATTTCTTTATGTCATATAAGGCAGAGATACTTAGTTTTTAAAGTGTTTGCATAAACTTGTTGATGAATACGAAGTTAGCTAAAAATAATTTTTATAACATATTTATTAACAATTTAACAAAAAATGAGACTTGTCAAATTTTTTTCTCTTCTTATCGCATACATACGTTATTCAACAAATCTAAAAAAAGTATTTAAGTTATGAAATGCTATAATTATTATATAAACGGAAGTACATAAAATAAAACTAAAACATAATAAAATGGAAAGGAATTAACTGTTTTTGGTTACCTGCTATTATTTTGGTGACATCTATTTTAAAGACAAAGACTAAGAAAAGATAAGAAATCAAATTGAAATATAAGAAAATTAGTTAATAAAAAGTATAGCAAAATTTTATTTCTTAGCTTTTAGTGAATGATTAGAAGCAATGGGTTCCAGTAATAAAACTAACTAATAATCATTTTTAACGATAGAAACCTACGGGAAGGTAAGCCAAGCTGTCTATCAACATAAAACAGCACAACAATAACAACGATAAGGGATCTTCCATATATTAAACTTCGTTAATTATTTTTTAAAATATGCGTAGGAAATCATCTGTCAATTTGTGAGGTAATTTTCATTAAACATAAATATTATTTTAGTTTTTATGTTTAAAAGAAAACTCTAGAATGGAATACTCATCCCCCCCCTTCCCTTTAGACTAAATTTAACGTTTGGTAATTCTAAGTAGGTATATACGGACACACAGTAAAAGCACAAGCACAGCATTAGATATTTAACTTTTTTTTATGATCGTTATTCAAATTTAAAACTTACATACTTTCAACATAATAGCATATTTGCAACAAAAAAAGTTGCTGAAAATTTATAAAAGCTATAAAACTGTTAAGTCAATGTTATAAGTCATGATAAAACTGGCTTTCCAGTAACAAAATCCGGTTTTCCAGTAACAAAATCCAATTTTCAAGTAACACAAACTAGTTTTTCCCAGTGTCAAAGACTGGTTTTTCCCAGTAACTGGCATTCCAGTAACAAAAACTGGTTTTCTGGCAACAAAAAATGGCTTGCCAGTAACAATAACTGGTTTTTCCCAGTAACTGGCTTCCTAGTAAAAAAACTGGTCTTCCAGCAACAAAAAATGGCTTTACAGTAACAAAAACAATTAGTAAAAATTAGGTGATACGTCAGCATCAGGTGCCTTTGTTATTATTTGTAAAAAATTTTAGTCAAAAATCACATACACAAACACAAATTCAGTTTAACTGATTTGGTGTTATTAAAATGTGTTTAAAATTGCAAATGGCATTACATATTTTGGATTTTATAGTCCTAAATAATTCGATAACAACTGTGACTTCATATCTGTTTCTATTGAATGATCCTTATGTGTTTGCAACTACTCATAAGTTAAATCTTCAACTTTATAATTAAAAAGTGCATTAAAAAAAAACTGTTCTTCCAATTGAGATGCATGGAAAACAGTTGATGAGTATTTTAGTGAAATTAATACAAAGATTGATGAAATTCAATTGTTTGTAAGGAAATATTTTATTTAATGAATATTTTAATCAAAACATGAATGCCTTTTATATAAAAACATACCTTCTAAATTATTATACACCATAAAAAATTATCATTTAAGCAATTTATAAAAAAAAGTATAATATATAAGAAACAACAATAGTAAAGCTAATTATTTAATGACAAAAGTACATGTTTAATAAACAAACAAAAAAAAGAAAAAGAAAAACTGAAATAAGACATGATTTAATAAATTCCGAACCCTCTGTAGGGTATGGATCCTGCTTTTCTTTCCCTGTAATTTAACGTCTTAAGACAGATCTGAAATAAAAAACACAAATAAAAATATCATTGTATGGTACAGCAAGAAATTAAAGAATTAAAAAAATATTTAAATAGTTAAAATAAATTTTTAAAACTACACATTAAGAACATTCGAAAATATAACATTATCTGTGTAACATTTTTCACCTGCCATACCTTGAAAAGGATGTTTATCAACTTTATAAATTTTTAAACGCGCATGTTCTTGAACGCGCTACATATAATTGACCATGAGAGAAACATTGTTTTTTTCAAATAAACATCAACTCAATCAAACGTTTGACCTTGACTTTTATTTATTGTCATAGAATATGCCAATCGGACTGGAAACTGGCGACGTTTGAGAGCAAAAGGTAAATTAGAATCCGACGGAGACAACATATATCTAGGAACAAAAACCCATTTACCTTCAGAAACAACTGTAAAAACCACTGCATCAATAAAATTGTTTTGGAGAGCACAAACTTTCATTCGGGTGCCATTACATAGCCCAGCTTTCAGATCTAAATTTCTAAGTAGCGTAATTACACAACCAATTTTTAATTTTGATCAATGAGTAGGTATACCTGAAGGAGTTAAGCTGTTCAAAAACTCAACAGGGAATTTATTTATTTTATTAAAATTGTCAGTCTCTATTTGATCAACAATTAAATAAGTTTTTACCTCTCCATGTAGACGTTCAAGCACTTCTTCATCGATTGACAATAAATCCACATTAACGGGTGTTAAAATGTCACGTTTAGCATAAATATCTTGTTGAGCATCTCCTTATATTTTTTCAACAACTGATTCGTTTTCTCTAATAATACACTGTTGCGGTATTTCAATACAGCCTTTAAAAGGATCTACCTCCTTGACAGGTATTGTTTCACTACCAAGTTTTAACAGCCATACGGAAAACTCTCCTTCTCCAACACGTACTCTCATATTTTCAGTTCATGTCAATATCTGCACCCAATGCCATTGTAAAGAACATTATATACATGATTCTACAATTTCAGCTAGTTTTCCTCTTTTCACAACAGGCAATATTTGCCTAAATTTACCACAAAAAAAAATTACTTTTCCACCAAACGGAAAGTTGTTGTTGTAAACAACTTTTAACAACTGATCAGTTGCATTTAATACGTGTATGGGAATCATGGATGTCTCGTCAAGCATAAACAAACTAACTTGCCTTAAAAATTGTCCCTGAATAGAATTAGGAGTCACATTACGTGTGCTGTTATCCAGTATTGGGACAGGAGGTTTAAATAAGCCGTGCAGCGTAGATCTATTTGTAAGAAGAGTTGCTGCTATGCCAGTCCATGCAGGTGTAACAGATTTAACACTTCTACTGCTTGTTCCAGCAATCAAATAATTATACGTAAAGATTTTGGCACTACCGGCTGGTCCATCCATAAAAAACAATCTAGAATATTGCTTTTCAACATTTGGTTGCTTGTTCAGTGCAGCACGGACAGCATTACTTATATTTAATTGATTGACGTTGAGAAGCGGTCTCATTCTATTAGCTTTGTCAATTAATTGCTGAACATTATCATTTAAATTTTCTAGATTAAAATCTATGAATTCATTATCAACAGGCAAATTATAATCAGATAGCGTTTTACCACTTTGATAAATAATCTTTTCGATTTG